CTGACTGTATCTATTTCTTGGACCTCACCTCTCTGCCTGTTTGCTATGCTTCAACCATACTGGCTTTCTTTTTATCCCTCTAACTTCCAAGCCTCTTCTTGACTCAAGGCCTCTGTACTGGCCATTTCTTCTGTTTGGAATGTTTCTCTGTTCCTATGGGTGCCTCTTTTCATCACTTAAATCTCAACTTCAACGCTACCTTCTCTGAGAGACCATCCCTGATGACCCTCAATAAAGTACTTCCCTTCTTCCCTCCAGTCACTCTGGTACCCCACTTTACCCTTGTCGTAGCACAGATGGGTACTTGAAATTACCTCCTTACATGTTGCGTTCCATATTTCTTGTTTGTTTTCTGCCCCTTGATGGTAGAGACTGTCTTTCTTGTTGACTGTGGCATCTCCAGACCTAGACACCAATAAGTGACCACTCAATATTTGCCGATAAACTGACTGACTTGGAACTGTGGGAAAGAAAAATTGAAATCTGGATTATCCAGGGAAAATTCATGTAGGATTGCCAGTTTTTTTCACTTTTAAGATCTGCTCATTCAAGTTATTCTCCAAATACATTCAGGTTGAATTAAATACCAGCCCCTTCAGAGTGGAGGGCAGGTACTCCCCAACACCAAAAGACAGAAAAGAGAGTAAAAACCAACATACCAGAAACACCCCATTGCTATCAAAAAAAGAATGAAAAGGACAAAAACAACTTTTTGTTTGTATCATCCAAAATTCTTCCAAAAAACGAACTTCAAGTTTCTCAGTTTTTCTATTGTGGAAGTTAAACAGAGGGCAGAAGGAGGGCAAGATTGTTTTCCTTCGTGTGTTAGGTTTTCCTGCTGTACCAAAGGTCGCTGATTTTACACCTGGTGTTAAATGATGCTCAGCTTTTTCTCAAATGGTCCTGTTTTATGGGTGGATGCATACTGAGGGCTTCCGCAAGTTCTATATCTAGATTGGTATTCATCATGAGTAACTACATTAACTTATTTTATGACCAGAGCTCTGAGAACCTGAAAAACTGTGTGTTCTAACTCTGCACATGCCGGGGGGACCTATCTGTGCCCCTTACAAGATCTGTACCAGCACTTAGCAACAGATCTTGGATTTCTTGGGCCTCCATTTTTCCATCCATAAAAAGGAGAAAACTCACGGAAGGATATGATGCTTTTCTTTATTGGAATGTGACATTTTTATGACATGGTATGAGATATGGAGGTATCATAGAAGGAGGTCCGAACTGGAGATCAGACCTTGAACACCTACATTCAGCAGACATTTATTTCACACCTCTTGTATACCAAATTATTAAGACATTAAATGCTACGATTCTGTAAATTGAAATGATTTTAACTATTATTCAGAAGTGGAGGCAGCTAATCAGCCCAAAAGGGAGTGGAATGTAGTACATGAGCACTGAATTGGCCTCAGGGATCCCTGCCCTGTCCTCTCCTGCTTGTGTCTAACTTTGGGCAAGTCACCTAACCCCTCCTGAACTTGGTGTGATTAGGCTTTTGGGGTAGGCAGGAGCAGTGGCGATGGGGTGGGCAGGCAGTGTCCTGGGAACAAAGGAAAAGTAGAATAAGAGGCCTCTGGGAGAGCAGGAGCTGGATGGTGGGTGATCCCAAGGCAGCCCCAGGGAGGCCTCCCCTACTCCCTGTCTTGATGTCCACTTGCCTCCATAGCTACCCCATAGCTTCCTTTACCTCAGGAGCGTTCACATTTTGCGATTCCAAGCAAGGTTTTGTTTAAAAAATGCATTCTCTTGCCAGAGAAAAAAAGGTTTGAAGCCATGCCATTCTCTTGCATAATTCCTGCTTACTCAGAGCTCCGGCCCCTTCGAACTCCGCGCCAGCATCCTTCTCTCACCACATCAGGGGTGGCGGGAGCGGGTGAAGCAGGCTGGGAACAAGAGGAGCAGGGAGTAGGGAGTGGCTGGGACTGTGGCAGACTGGAAACTGTGCCCTGTCTGCAGGAGACAGAAACACCGTGGCACCAGTTAATCATGGCCGTGCAGGCTGGCGGCATATCAATGCCTGGTCTTCCAGATTTTTCAAGGCAAGCTGTAAATCCACATTTTTGCCTGAAGTTTTCTGATTTTTACACATTGGTGAGTAATTTAAAAAATGTTGACACCATGGGGTTCAAACAATATGCATCTAATATACATCTAGCTGGTCCACAAGCAGCCAATCTGCAGCTTCTAGAATCTAGAGTTCAGATAAAGTCATGACCTTTCAGCTTTTGTTCTGCATACTAGCTGTGCGTGTTGTGTGTGTGTGTGTGTTCACAGTCCTGAAATGGAATCTGATTGGCCCAGTGTAACTTTTTGGGGCCAGAATTTGTCACAGAACAAATCTGTGGATTAGCTGCATTTGGGTCAGGTGCCCGCCCTTGGTCTTAGAGGGGCTGCCTAAGGCCTACCCTTTCAGCAAGGGTCTTGATTGAACCAACTTTCATTTCAGAGGCTGTGGCCATGGCAAGCTGTGTACCTGATCGGTCTAATAAAGACATAGAATTTCCTCCTCCTCCAAATGAGTGTTTAAATAGAATGATTTGTATTGGTTTCTCCTAACAAAATTCTGTTTATTATAAGAAAAGGCAATGTTCCACCGACATTTATAATTTCAGTAAAAGTTTGGGTGGTGTTAAGTATAATATATTGGTATGAATGGTATTTAGAGAAAGCTCTGATTTACACCAACATGTTGGTTACTTCTCATTTTAAGAAAATTCTGTTTACAAAATTAGCAACTCTCAGGGTTAGAAGAGACGTTAACCTCTTTACACCTCCCTCCCAGTCCTGAATTCTCTTTTATGGCACCCCCACTAGACTGGCACCCACCTACACTGTACTGCTTCTCTTTTCCAGGGAGTGCACTTCTTCCAGAGGCAGCCTCTTTCCTCCTTGGACAGGCCTGGTGATTCAGTTTTTTTCTTATTGCACAGTGCCCAACCCACCATAGGCAGTCACTACAGCGTATATTTGCTAAACAACCCCGTTCATGGATTCATTCCTGCGATATTTACTGGGTGCCTACTATGTGCGAGGCATTGTTCTAGGATCTTAGGCAGTATCAGTGAGCAGAACAAATCCACGTTCTTGGAGAGCTGATGTTTTAGCCTGGAAGGAGGAGGTGGTGGGAGAGAGACGATAAATTTCTTTTAAAAAGTAAATCATGTAATATGTTACAAGGTGATAGAGGCAATGCAAAAAAGAAAAAGTAGAACTGAATGAGGGGGACTGGGAGGGAGGAGGGAGTTATAATTTTACAAAGACCGAATAGGCTAGGCCTCATTGAACAAACACTTGAAGGAGCTGAGGGAGTCAGCAATGCAGAATGAATGTTCCCAAATCGGTCTTCCTGCAGCTGTGCAGAAATAGCTCCCTTTTCACTGCCCAGCCCTGCAGGATAATAGTAGTAAGAATAATAGCTTAATATCTGTTGAATCCCAGCAGAGATTCTAAGCCCTTTCCCTGTATGAAGTCATTAAATACTCATCACAATCCTAAGAGATAGCTACTACTTTTTAAATTTATATTTATTCAGTTTTTATTTTACAGAGGTCATATTGGCTTATAACACTGTAAACTTCAGGTGTACATTATTATATTTCAGCTTCTGTATAGACTGCATCGTGTTCACCACCAATAGTCTAGTTTCCATCTGTCACCAGACACATGTGCCCCTTCACCCCTTTCGCCCTCCCCCGACCCCCTTCAGCTCTCGTACTCACCAATCTGTTCTCCTTATCTCTGTGTTTATCTTCCATATGTGAGTGAAATCATACCGTATTTGTCTTTCTCTGCCTTATTTCACTTAGATAGCTACTATGTTGCTCCCCATTTCACAGGAGTAAACTGAGGCATAGCACAGTTAACAGACTTGGCTAAGACGGGCAGCTAGTAAGAGGAGGAGGTGGTCTACAAACCTTGACCTACTGGCCCCAGGCTTTGGCTCTTAAATCCTCAGCACAGTTGCCTTGAAGCCATCTCTCAAGTCCCCTCCCCACTCACTGCCCCCTGGAGCTTTTCTTTCCCAGGCACAGGCCTCGAACCTCCTCCCTTTCATTGCACTTGATTCCTGGGATGAGACTTAGTGTCTCTTGGGGTTTGTGTTGAGAATACTTTAGCTTTATCTGAAGTGGGGCACTTTATCTAAGTGAGGCACCCAGAGCTCTATTAACTGCGCCCCCCCAGCAGTCCTTACACAGGTTTTGTAAGGTCACAGTGACCAAAATAAAGACAAATTTTTTCTCAGTTTTGACATAAAAAGACACATACGTCTTTTCTTCAGCAAATGTCACTGTGGTTTCAAAGGCTAAGTGTGATGTGTGAGCCGGCAGCATTTTTAAAGTGTTTCCTGCTCAACCATAGGGTGAAACTAGCAAGCCAGTGAGTCCTGAAAACAGCTGCATCAAATTCTTAACACCTGCAAAAAAAAAAAAGTTTTGAAAATAATTTTACATTGTTTTTAATTTGGGGATTGGTTGGTTTTCTGTTGTTTCAAACTTTGAAGGGCCCTCCAATTCACTAAACCTTCGGTTGGAAAGAGAACTTGGGAGCTTTAAAAGAGTTTTGCAAATCTAAGGGAGAGACTTCACCGGAATTATATTTTTATTAGTGCACTTAAAACAACTTCTCCTGAAATTGGCCTGGGGACTGTTCCTTCAAACAACAACGAAAGTCCCAGGCTCTAGTCCCCTAATGAGTCCTAGAATCAGCCCCTTGGCTTCTTGGTAGAGTTTCCCGTCGTGGGGGGACGAGGGGGGAGATCCCGTCGTGGAGAGGGGCCATCTCGTCCGTCCTGTGTGAGGGAAACACAGCACAGAGTTCCCTTGACCTGTTGCATCCTCCCCCGCTTTTCAAGTCAGAGTTGGATTTCCTGAAATTGTTGAACTGGATGTAAGTGCAGGCGCCCCCTCCCCCCACCACCCCCAACAGGGTGAGAGTTGCTGCAGGGGAGGAGTGGGATGGGGTGAGGTGGGGTAGGGTGGGGGCCATTGGAGAGAAACTAAAGCGATGAGCACAGGACAGGAAAAGTGGGAGGAGGAGGGGGAGGGGGAGGAGGGGGGAGGAGGCCGTAAGATGAGAGAGGAGGGAAACGTGTCACCAGCCCGGCCCCGGGAGCTCCGCGGCCGCCGCGTTGGTTGACTCCGCCGGGGAGGACCCGAGGCTGGAGCGGACCCCGCAGAGGGCAGAGCTGGGAGAGGAGGGCGGAGGGAGAGCTGGGCAGAGCGGGCGGCGAGAGCCATCCAGGGCGCTCGTTTCTCTCCGGTGAGAAAACTTTCCCGGGAAGACCGGAAACTTTTTCCTGGGCGCGCGGAGGCGAGCTGCGAGTGTGCGCGACTCGAGGTGACTCACCCCCGGGACCCCAAGGGGGTGAGGGGGAAGTCCCCGGGAGGGGCTAGAGTCGCAGGCTCAGCAACGGCACAGAATTGGGAACAAAATCGCCGGGCACGACAGGCACAGTGCGGCGGGGCACAGGGAAGCGGGGCTTGGGGAAAGCGTCACATTTGGGGGCAACCAGGTGGGGACCCCCGCATGGTTGAGGATCGCCCCATCGATCGGAAGCTGCCGGCAGGCGTAGAGCACCGGACTAGCGCCCATCGTGGTGGGGAGGGGGGAAGCTGAGCCCGCCTCGGCGGCTTAGGGTGGGCGAGGGACCCCTGTGGGTGGGATGGGGGATGCCGCCGATCGTGGGACCCAGGCTGAGCCAGGAGATCGTAAAAGAAAGTTTGCTTGTTTGTCTCTCTCGTTCTCCCCCGGCCTGAGGGGCAAATCTAAAGTAAGCTGACCCACTCGGGCGCGGGCGACTCGGCGCCCCGAAACAGCTCATCTTTTCCTGCCGTCCCCTCTTTTCTGGAGGGAGCGTGGGAGGGGAGGGCAGGGAAGGCAGCCGCTTTGTCCCGCGCGCCGCTGGACGTGCGCGCTCCGCCGACTGGGGCGGGCCGGGCGCAGCCTGGGGAGACCGGCGGGCGGGCGGCTCTCCCGGCCAGCGGCATCCCCTTCCCGCTGCATCTTTCCCGCCCGCCCTCCATTTGGCGAGGCTTCCCAGCGCGCCTACTGTGCGCGCACGGCGTGCTCACTGCGCGCAGGGGGCGCTCTAGGCCCCCCGCCCCGGGGGCTCAGACTCTCCCTTCCCAGCCCTCTGCCCCTTATCCTGTGGGCGCCCGCCCCTGGTCACACCGGGCTGTGTACTTGCAAACTGTGCTTCAGGAATTGGCTCCGGGGTGCCTCCCTGGTTGGCAGTAGGGTTTTCCCCCTGTTGTACCCAGCCCCTGCTCTCGGTCACATGCCGCCGCCTCTTCCCCCGCGGTGCCGGGAGCCCGCGTTTTGTTTGTCAGCAGTAAGGCGATGAGTATTTATAGACGCCACTGCAATCCTGCGGTATGCAAGGTTTCAATTACTGCGATGCGCCCCACAAGACGGAAGGCTCACGCGCCGCTGCTCAGCGGCACGTCTGCTCTGGGGACTCGCATGGAAAAAGCTCTGAGCTGGAGTCTCCGGGCATCCCTGCTGGGGCGGAGTTCTGGACCTGTTGCCCAGACGATACGTGCAAATTCAAGTGATCCACGCAGAGGACCAAAGCAGTCAAGGACGCCAACAGCCCTGATTGTCTCCGTCCTCTGACCCCCTCCCCCACCAAAGGGTGCGCGCTTGTCCAGACCCGGAGACTGCCCTTTCGGCCCTGGCGTTGGTGATCCTGGCCACCGTGGGTTGCAGTCATGACATTTCATTGCCCTACTTGCTGCAAAATGTCATAGTGCTGCGCTCTGGTAAATTGCTCTCGGGGTGGAAGGCACTGTTATTGACAACGCGAAGCAGCAAGTGGGTCAGGAGGGGAAATGGAGCTTGCAGAAACTGAGTTAGCCAAGTTTTAAATTTAGCCCTGGTGAGGTTCCCGTACGACCGACTGAGAAGGGCGCAGCGCTGCTGTCTGGGACCTGGCTGTCCGTCTTCTCTGGCTGCAGTACTGAGCCCTAGAATCCGGCCGAGGGTGCTCTCAGAGCATCTCCTGTAGAATGTAGCAGATAAGGGAAACAATGCTTAGTCAGTCCAAAAAGTAAGGGAAACTGCTTGGTGAGTCCACAAAGTCGTCTTCGGTTTTTCCAACCCCAACTATTGTCTTTTCAGCATTTTATTGATGCTTCTAACAGCTAGAACCATTAATAGTGTAACAAAAAAGAAAGATAGGCGTTAGAAATAAGCTAGTCTAACCAGCTTATTTCTCAAGGGCTTGGACTAGCTTGTTTCTCAATGAGGAGACCTTATTTCTTTCAGATCCGGAGGGTCATGGATGTATGTTTATTTCAACGGGTGAGATTTCAATAATGGTCTGTGTTTGAACATTACAAAAATATGCCCTTTATTTTAAAAAAGGGGAGGGGACAACCACCCCTCGAGGTCTCATTATGTCTTAAACTGTGCACCAAGAGACTTTGATAGTATTATATAATCTGCACCAAAACATTGATGAGGTAGGTACTATTATATCTGCGTTATATAGCTGAGCCCACTGAGGGTTAGAGAACTTAGTTTGTCCACACACACACAGGGTGGAGCTGAGAATGGGTTCCAGCTCTGTTAAGGCAGGCTTGTAGTGCCAGCCTCTACTGGAGATGTCTTTCCCTTCCTCCCTCAGTTGTTGATGAGCTCATCTTATAGTTGATTAACTTGGTGCCTTCTTTCTTTTTTTTTGTTTTAATGTCACATCACAGAGTGGCCCAATTATTGAAAAAAAATCCTAGTCTTGTCTTTAGAAATCTGTTACACTGCTACCTGAAAATTCCATGCTGGCAATCCAGACCTAAATGTCATAATCTGCAGTTTGTTCTTGACAATCTATGTGCAACATTTAAACCATTTATCTGTAGAAAATTGAATCCAGTCAGGACTTTGTGTATGTCTTCATTATTTCTCTATCCTAAGGTTTGTAGGTGTGCATGTGTATATTTCCTGTTGTCATTCCTTTTGTATTGCCTTGTACAAGGTAAAATGTACTGAAATATTTCTTGAATTGCAGCCTTTAAATCTTTTTTTGTAGAGCTAGACCAGTACAGAATTGATTTGCGAAATAGAGTACAAGCCCCTCTGAAAGATCCCTACGTGTCATTAGAACCTTGTTCGGTAGAGTTGCCTCTCCATATGCAAAATGTAAATGCTTGTTAAAAGCAATGCTTATAGAATGTATCATTTGTTAAGAAGTCAGTGTGAATTAATATCTCAGTTGCTGAAAGTTGGACGTGAACTATTCTGAGGATTTTGTAGGTGGTGCGGGGTTAGGAATTTGGGAGCAAAAAGTGGTACCCTGAGAAGCGGAAGGCGCTGTTTTCAAGGGAAGGTTCCACTCTGGAGCCAGGAAGGAGGTTGGGACTATATATGATGCAAGGCAATGAGAGGTATCAGAGGTGAACCTGCGTTAATTCACATTTTTGTCAAGGGCTAGGGATCCAAGGTTTACTTTGAAACTTGTACAGTTAAAACAAACAAGCCAACTTAATTTATTGAGCAACTACTGTGAGCCAGGTACAGCCATGGTAATGTTATTTGAGCCTCCCAAAAGCCGGAGCAGGTAGATATTCTTTTCTGTATTAGGATGTAAAATGGAGGCTCAGAGAGGTTAATTACTTTCCTCATGTCACACAGCCATTAACTTAAGCCCCTTGTTCTTTCCAGTACATTTTGATATCTATTCTTGAACATCTTCCATGAAGAACCCAGGGTCTCAAGTACTCAAGAAGGTCCTAGTGGTTCAGTGAAAGTTTCTGGATCAGAAGTTGATACCAGAGCAGTGCAGGAGCTCTAAAGTGAGGGGACAATGGAGGAACTGAAGGGACAGTCTGGATAATTCTGACAGTAGTTATTCCGTGGAAGGAGAGAGGCCCTGTAGATGTTGTGTACATAGAGAACTACTAGCATTGGGCTGGCACAGGATGGCTGTCACGTTGCAGAGCAAGGCCTGGCGACGGGCATGCGACAGGAGGTGCCCAGAGGGGAAAAGTGGGGAGGAGGCACCTCCACCTCCCTTGGAATGCCTTCAGTTGTGAAGATGCCCGGTTAGAATCGCCAGGTTATAGTCGATATAAATTAGGGAGCCCGGGAGACCTGTTTCCGTTTTAATTGGACTTGGCCCTTTGAGGTAACAGGCATCCCATCTCTCTCTCTTTAAATATTGTTTTCTTATGCTTTGCCAGTTTATGGCTTTTGTAGGTCAATCCTTGGATTTCATTTAGAGGAGAGAGAGAGAGAAAAAAAAAGCAAAGGTTAGTGATTACCTAAATTGGATTAAGTTCTGTCTAGCAGCATTTAAAGAAATGCTGCTTGCTCTCTAATTACCGTCAACTAGGAATTTAAACGGTCTATTAAATTTAAGCTGACTTTTTTTTTTATCCCCTGATAGTTCCAGCTCTAACATATTCTGGGGTTTTGCTTTTTTATATTCTTCAAATGTGTAGAAGACATTCCCCCTTTTAAAAATATTACATTTCTGTAGCAGGATAGTAAATGATATCGTGATATACTGGCTTCACTAAAAAGCAGAAGCACATAGCCAACGTCAGTGGCTCTGGCAGCCTCTGCAGAGCAAACCGGTTAACTGAGTCCTTGGTCAGAAATCTCGGGACATCTGTGTGAAGATTTTTGGATGGAAGATGGCTTGCTCATTTCTCTGTAGTAAAAGAACAGGCCTGGCATGAAAGTCAGCCACCTTGACTCTGTGTGTGAGCTTTGAGTCCAAACTACAGGAGTATTCTTTATCAGAGTGGGTGTGTGTGCACCTTGGGGCGGGGACGGGGTGAGGCAGGCGAGGTGTGGGGGTGCAGAGGTCAAGGGCATGGCCCTGAGGGAGACTGCCTCACTTGCCCTGGTCCCGGCCCTGGTGTGCTCATGGGTGAACGGTGCCTAGAAGGGTTTTGGAGAGCGGTGGAACTCACCAGAAGATCTCGCTCTCCCTCTTCTCACCGTGGCCTCTGGGAAAACCTGGTCGACGTGTACCCTCGCCACTGCCCAGACACCCTATCATAATTATTTGTACAATGCATTTTGCATATAATCATACGCTGCATAAAATCATGTATTTACCTCTCTAGGCTTTTGTTCTCTTTCCTTCCCAATTTTGAGGTGTAAAGAGAAGATTTCTCTCACGCACTCGTCAGTCTTCTGATTTCACTTTAGCTGGTTGCCAAACGCCAGCAACACCTCCAGTTCCTTGCCTCTCTCTTTACTTGTTCCAGAACTTTCTCCAGCTTTGCTGGTACTTTTTGACACAGGCCGAGTTCTGTGTTTTGTTGAGGGCATCTGTGCCAGCAGTTAGGTTTCTAGCAAACTCGAGGATTAAGGGACCGCCATTTGGG